ATCCTGCAAAATGCGTCAAGAAAGCCAAATCCTTTGGACATTCTCAACAAGACAAATCTTGCCATATCTTGCAAGCAAGGATCACGCAAATCTAAACATGTGTGTTGAAAATATTTGTAAAACAATATGTCTATGGATCCTTAAATCGGAATGCCATGGTCTGGAGTCAGGCTCAGAGGCTGGTCGCTATAGCAGTACAGAGGCACCCACCAACCAGCTGGATAAGTACAGAACCAGGTCGCCCTGGTGGGTGACTTCTGAGGTGTGGAGTCTACCCATCATTCACCAGAGCTGCTGATGGTGGAGATGGGTTTTGCTGCATGTTAGATCCAGGTTACGGTCTTCAGGATTGCCCTATCAGGAGGTAAGCAAGCTGGGGTCGAGTAGCAGATATAGCAGGTAGGGATAAGCAAAAGCATAGTCAGTATGCAAACCAAAGGTTGGTAGCAAGAGGTTGCAGGTTTGGATCAACCAGAAGTGTAGTCGAGGAAACATCCAAAGGTCGGTAATGAGTGACAGCGAAGATATAGATGGCAGCAGGATTGACAAGAGCAAGATATTGGCTGGAGAGAGCACAATAATCTGGCAAACAGGAAGTGCAAAGGCATGGCTTAGTAGGAAGTTCAGGGGAAGATCAAAGGGTTCAAGATTCAAGAGAAGCAAGGTTTAAAGTAGTATCATTCAAGGAATGGTGCTGTGTTGAAGAACCAAGACTATAAAAAAAAGGAAAGGTACATGGCACCACACCTCCAATGATGTACAGGACCACCCCTCACTCCATTGTAAAGGAATGAGAACAAAAAAGTGTGGGGGTGAAATGGGAGAAGGGAAGTGGGGTTTGGGATTTAGGAGAGAAGGAGAAAGAAAATATGTGGACGCAGAGGAAAGGAGGGTAAGGAGGAAGGAAAGAAGGGATGCTGAACAAATGACTCCAGCACTCAGGGGCCTCATATCTCCATATTCCTACAGAAGCAGCAACTCCGGGTCAAAAGAAGGTGGCATGTAGGACTCAATCTATGGTTCCCATATTTTGTGAAACTTGGGTAACTTATCGTTTTGGCGGACTGTCATTTTTTTTTTTAAATATAACTTGGGAAACCCAGTGCTTGACCGTCACAAAAGGGATGGCGTGGATTTTTCATGCATGGGCCATGATTCTCTTTGCTGCTGTGAGACTGTACATAACTAGCTTGAACTGACTGTTGGTACATTAGTGGAAAAATGTTTTACTAAGTTGTCAATACATTTTTAATCATTTTATAAAAATTGGTCTGTAGGATGTGTGATAGATTGTGATGTTATGTCCTGGTAGACAGCTCACCAAAAGTTGTGGATTTATTTACCATTTTGAAGCTGCTAACTTCTTGAAGGCCACTCGCAAGATAGATGTACAATTAACACCATCCTCTCTTAAATTACGCAGATACATTTCTTAGAGAACTTTTTTAGGTTTCCAGAACATAGCAGTGAACGTTTTCAAATTAAGGTGTATGTAAAGCCAGAACTTTATTTTTAGTTTTGGATAGAGTAAGGAAGGGTTCAAACACCTGCCTGGCATTCCTTTTCTGTCTGCATTCCATTGGGAAAATGTCGCTTTACTGCCTGTCCCAGAGACACAACAAAAATAGAAGAGCTGTAAAAGTGAAGGACATTCCAAAACAGGTGGTCCTACTAGAAGACTTCTGGGGACAGCTTTAAAATTTAGAATTTTCCTATTTTTTCTCAGTGACTATTGCCAATGGGGACACAGGCAGCACTAAAACATGACAGATAGTGTACCTTAGATTGTATGCCCTTTGAGGGTTAGGGACTGATGTGAATGTACAATATATATGTAAATCGCTGTGTAAATTGACGGCGCTATATAAGTACCTGAAATAAATAAATAGTGTAGCTTTATAAAATAAATAAAGTTTTGCTTCATTAAAGCTTACAGAGAATCCAGATTCCTCTAACTAAAAAACAGAGATGTTTCTCATACACATGGAAAACGCGTTTCTTTGTCCAACCAATGGGACCCAGATCCTCCATAGGTGAAATATGGTAAGTGTTGTGGTGGTGGTGTTTGTCATGTAAGTGAGATACTTAGCGCCATTTCTAAATTATTATTATTATTATACAGGATTTATATAGCGCCAACGGTTTGCTCAGCACTTTACATTATAGTGGGAGACAATACAGTAACAATACAGTTCAATACAAGAGGGATAGGAGGGCCCTGCTCCTTGGAGGTTACAATCTAGCAGGGAGGGGTGAATGGTACAGTAGGTAGTCACTGTGGGGGATGGAGTGGTTGGAAGAGTAGAGGATTCCAGAATTAGCAGAGGGGGGGATAGGCTTCCCTGAAGAGAAAGGTTTTCAGTGATCGCCTAAAGGCAAGTAGAGTAGGTGATAGTCTGATAGATTGGGGTAGGGAGTTCCAGAGGATGGGTGACGCCCTGGAGAAGTCTTGGAGATGAGCATGGGAGGAGGAGATAAGGGAGCTGAAATGCTGAGCTTGAGGCTTGTTGTGCATCTGCTTATGAAAGACTGTAGATGTGCAGTAGACATCTTACATTCAAATGAAAAATTATTGTGTTATGAAAAATAATAGTAGCAGTGGGGTGTTGTACCATTATAAAGGATTTAGGATATCCTTTATTAGTTAAGGCCTTGTTCAGATGGGTTCAGATGGGGCTATTACATGCATACCCTGTGCAGGAGCGTGTTTTACCGGCACAGGGATGCAACGGTGTAGCGTGCATAGCTGTGCCGGAAATCTCACTGTTGTCTATTGGGACACAACTTGTGTCCCAGTTTGACATCTATTAGGATGAATTTAGGGACCCGTACCCAATGAATGTCATATTAGGACATAGCAGCTCTGTCCCGTGCAGCCTGTTACCCAATAGACAACAACGGGACTGTCAGCACAGGGATGCACACAACACTGGTGCATCCCTGTGCCAGTAAAACACACTCCTGCATGGGGTATGCATTTGCCTCGTGTGAATGAAGCCTAAATAATAAGAATGTAGTGCAAGATTTCCAGGCACGCTGGCCTCTTCTTCAGGGAATATATAGAAAATAATAAAAATAAAAATTTCTGAAAAATCGTTGCTCTTCAAATAGCTAAGAAAAAAAGAAAACAATGTACATATATATATACATTTGTATACAGATATTGCTAAGGTTCCTTTCACACCAGAGAACCGATTGGGTCTGTCTGTCCAATTTTCAAGCAGACCCGCTCTGACGCTCCATTGCTGTCTATGGACTAACAAGTGTAAATGAACATGTGTCTGTTTACACCCACCTGTATCTAATCCCATCCTATCCGCTAAGACCCCGGTCGCACTGGGTGCAACTTGGCATGCGATTTGCATGCCATGCGACTTGCAAATCGCATTCCAAGTTGCACCCTATTACAGTGGTCATATCGGTTGGAGCGGCACCGATTTCTAAAGTAGTACATGCACTACTTTTGGTGTGATTTGCATAGACATCTGTATCAGATGTCTTGCAAATCGCACCTTAAAATCGCATCATCCGACGTTGAATTTTTGTGACTTCACTGTAAGTCGCACGATTTCAAAGTCGGGCTTGATGTGACCGGGTTTTAAAGACAGACAGATGGGGATCCCTTCCCCATTTGTCTGCCAGATCGGATTGTATGACAGATGGATGGAAACGGACAAGCAGTCTATTTCCATCCGACAGCCCATAAAGGACAGCGGGTTGTGTCTGTGTCCGCTCTGCATAAACGGAGCAGACATGAATCTGTCATCCGCTTGCTCAGTGGTGATTAGCGGGCAGATCCCTTGCTGGGCAAGTGAATCCTGCTGACGGGTCCGCCCAATGTGAAAGGGGCCTTATATACAGGAGGCCATTTGAGCACCACGCATCAGATGGTTTAATCATCAACAATGTAAAAATATTTACTGAAAAAAAAACAAAAATGAAAAAGTATGAGAATCAAACATTTGCCCCATACACCACAGAACTGGGTAAAAAAAAAATTGGAAATTTCTATTCAATCCAACTGCCTCACCTTTTCACTCCATAAAACTGAAAGCAATTGAAACAGTAGTGAAAAGTAAATGATAAATACTATAGTTAATTAGGATATCCAAAGGTTTCAGTAAATGATTGTATTTATGAATGTATGACCAACATTAGGTGACTAAACAACTATCCTTTTTCCGTGGTCAGCCCTATAATGGTCACACATGCATCCTTTTTTTCTAAATTTTGTATACATTTTTTTTGAATTACGCATATTTTAGATGCTGCCATATGTGTTTTAGCTATTTTGTTTAATTTGATCCAACTAAAATTTCCCTCAAAATTGACTGTGTTGACGGGGGAATTGAACAACTATGGCTTGCATTGCTACAGAACAGTCTTGGATGTACAGGACAGGAAATGATGAGAAATCTCCTTAGTGAAACACAGATAGCAAAAAAAAAATAAGACAGCAATTTTAACCCCTTCCCCATCTTCCCCATTCTATTCAAAATGACAAAAAATTGGTTTTAGATGTTGTATTGCAATTTAAAATGAACTTTCAACACTTTTAAATCTGGAGATTTCATTAAAATAATATCTGATGATCCTGCCATACTGGTCCTTGTTCAGACACTTCCTGTTACAGAGTGATAGTGCTCCGTCCCTGTCTCCCGTTTGATCTCCTGAATTGTCACCCTCTTACACGGTCTTCTGATAGAGACTACAAGTGGACGCTTCTTAAACCACTTGCCTACCGGGCACTTTTACCCCCTTCCTGCCCAGGCCAATTTTCAGCGCTGTCTCACTTTGAATGACAATAGCGCGGGCATGCAACACTGTACCCAAGTTAAATTTTTAGCTTTTTTTTTTAGACAGATACAGTAGAGCTTTCTTTTGATCACCACTTTTTTTTTATTTTATGCTAAAAAAAGACTAAACATTTTGAAAAATAAATGTTTATGCTTAGTTTCTGTTAAAAATTTTTGTAAATAAGTAATTTTTCTCTTTCACTGATGTGCGCTAATGAGGCTGTAGTGATGGGCACTGATAGGCGACACACTGATGTACACTGATAGGCGCACTGATAAGGAGTCACTGGTAGGTGGCCATTGACAGGCATCACTGATGGGCACTGAAAGGCAGCACTCATATATGGCACTGATAGGTGGCACTGATGGGCACTGATAGGCGGCATTGATAGGTGGCACTGACTGGCACTGATAGGCAGCACTGATTGGAACTGTTAGGCGGCACTGACTTGCTTGTTTACATGCGATCAGCTGTGATTGGACACAGCTGATGACATGATAGATCCTGTGTCATCGGCTCTTTGCTGTGATCGGCGATCCTCTGAGTCCCAGGGGCACAGTGCATTACCGATCGCCGCGCGCCCCCAGGAGCGCGCATACGCAGTGGGAGTGGGTGGACGTCATATGACATCCTTCCAAAACAAGAGAGCCACAGCCCGTCCCGTCATTTCCTTATATGGTGGATGGGAAGCAGTTAAACATTACAAAGGCATAGTCCACTGTTGTCACTATCAGGAAGCCTGCCCTGAAAAATGTCCTGTAGCCACTACTGCAGTTCATAAAGACATGAAGTGCCTGCAAACAGGCTGCAGGAGATCTGCAGCACCAAGATGCAGCAAAAGAAGAAAAAATGTTGAAAACAAGTATTTCATTGAAAAAAATGGCAGTTGTTTATGACACACAGTGATTTAGCAAACTAAATGTCAGTCATGTAAAGTTTACATGTACTTCAACCTTTTACTGCCTCCAATGTAAAAATACTAGATGGTGCTGGCTTGCACACACTCCAAGTGGCTGCAGCTGCCGAGAGTGTGTGTAAATCTGACAAACCGACTGTCAGCCATCATATGGAAGTGATCTAGGTCGCTTCCACACACCCCAGGAACTCCTGGTCCTCCCCCCACTTGACCCTGCCATGTTTCCTGGGCTCTATGCACCCATTGGTGGACCTAGGACTGGTATGGCAGGTGTCACTGGGTAGAGGACAGGTTGAACAGTGAACATCCTTTAGCTGATCTCCCTTTCCTGTTACTGATATGGAAGCGACATGTAAAACGTCACTTCCTGGCCCTGGTATCACGTCACTTCCTGGCCCTGGTATCACGTCACTTCCTGGCCCTGGTATCACGTCACTTCCTGGCCCTGGTATCACTTTCATACTAGCTGGGGAAGACTCTAATGGAATTTGATATGCATTCCATTCACACACCTACTGAGCGACATATCAGACTGGATGTCGCTCTACTTCCTTAAACTGAACCTCTCCAAAACCGAGTTTCTTGTCTTCCCCCCAGCCCGGACCCCACCCCCCATTGACTTCTCCATCATGTCCAACAACACCACCATCAAACCTGCCCCGCAGGCCAGAGTACTTGGTGTCATTCTGGACTCCAACCTATCCTTCCAGCCCCAAGTCCAATCACTAACAAACTCATGCAGACTCCACCTTCCAGCCCCAAGTCCAATCACTTACAAACTCATGCAGACTCCACCTCTGCAACATCGCCAAAATCCACACGTTCCTAACCCCAGAAACCACTAAACAGCTCATCCACTCCCTCATCATATCACGACTCGATTACTACAACTCCCTCCTTACTGGCCTTCCTCGCCGCAGGCTATCCCCTCTTCAGTCGATCCTGAATACGGTTGCCAGACTCATTCACCTTTCCAACAGCTCCGTTTCCGCCACCCTCCTCTGCCAATCCCTCCACTGGCTTCCGATTGCGCAACGGATCAAATTCAAAATCCGAACACTGACATACAAAGCTGTCCACCATACTGCCCCGAACTACATCACTGACCTAATATCCAAGTACCGCCCAGCACGCACACTCCGCTCCTCACAAGACCTCCTTCACTCTAGTTCCCTGGTCTCCTCCTCCCATGCCCGCCTCCAGGACTTCTCGAGGGTGTCACCCATCCTCTGGAACTCCCTGCCCCAACCCATCAGATTATCAGCTACTCTCCTCTCCTTTAGGCACACCCTGAAAACCCATCTCTTCAGGGAAGCCTACCCCACCCCCTGCTAACTTGCCGACCTCCTCCACTCTTCCTACCACTCCATCCCCCACAGCTATCTCCTCCTGTGCCACCATCCCCTCCCTCCTAGATTGTATGCTCGAAAGAGCAGGGCCCTCGATCCCCTCATGTTTTGCATTGTATTGTTATTGTTCTGTCACATGTTCTGTCCCCCTTTGTAATGTACAGCGCTGAGCGAACTATTGGCGCTTTATAAATACTGTATAATAATAATAATAATAATAATAAAAAAATTCATTTAATTGGAAGACAAGTGAGACATTGGGGGTCTTTTAGACCCCTGATGACTCATTAAATAAAACTTGTCACTAAAATGCATCACAAAGAGGAATTTTTATCTCCTATGCAATACAAAATAAGTTTAGAAAAACATTTTGAAAAAAACAAGTGTAAAATGAAAGTTACACCCAAGCTCCTAAAATCCCCCCAAAAAAACATGATTGACCCTGCCACCCCCCACATACACAAACAAACAAATGTAAATGTGCACATTGGGGACACCTACGTGTGAAAATGATGATTGTGCTACATGTTACATATTTTGCCACACACACTGAGGCAAGAGAAATAATTCTAGACTGATTATTCACAGTTAACTCTAAACTGATGACTTGTAGGGGCTTTTAACCACTTGCCCTCCAGAGGATTTACCCCCCTTCCTGACCAGGCCATTTTTTGGGTTATGGCGCTGCGTTATTTTAACTGACAATTGCGTGGTCATGCAACGCTGAATCCAAATGAAATTTATGTCATTTTTTTCTCCCACAAATTGAGCTTTCTTTCAGTGGTATTTGATCGCCTGTGTATTTGGGTTTTTTTGTGCTATAATTTTGAGAAAAAAAAAACATTATTTTTGACTTTTTGCTATTAAACATGTCCAGTAAAAAAATGTAAAAATGAAAGTTCGTCATAAATTTAGGCCAAAATGTATTCTGCTACATGCCTTTACTAAAAAAAACTCCCAATACGTGTAAATTAATTGGCTTACGTGAAATTTATAGGATTTACAAATGGCGGTATATATACTGGAATTTTTTTTAAATTTTTATTATTATTTTTACTAGTAATGGCGGCGATCAGCGACTTATTGCAGGATCAGGAAGCCATTTTTCTCCCCAGCAGGAGCAAATTGGATCATGCTTTGCTGGGTTTTTATGCTTTCCTCTGTCAACTGTGGGTATAGGATTATAACTTTTTTTTTTTCTTTTTTTATGGTTGAACTGGATGGACTTTTGTCTTTGTTCAACCAGACTATGTAACTTTTCCAGAAAATAGTATATGCAATCAAAGGGACTAGGTAGATAATGAAAAAACTGATCAGCTTTGTAAAATGTTCAGTAATGTTATTGTCATACTTGTAGGCCATTTGGGTCCCCTCAGAAGCCTGGCCTGAAAACTCCCACTTAGCAACCCCCATATCCTGTCTTGTTGCTAGTATGTGAAAACCGTTTGACACTCACTCCCAGCATCACGTAAACCAACGGTTTTTTCACATCCTGGGAACAAGACAGGATATGGGGTTTGCTATATGGGAGTTTTCAGGCCCAGCTTCTGAGGGGACCCAAATGGCCTACAGGTATGAAAAAATATTATTGAACATTTTACAAAGCTGATTAGTTTTTTTTATCTATCGGGGCTCCACTGGGTGAAGCCTTCAAGCTGTAACCCAAAATAAATCCAAAGACTATTACTATTATTATGTATTTATAAACTGGAACTAATTTGCCAAAAAATGGAGTATGACTAAGAGATGTTTCCTTTAGCAACCAGGATCCTGCTTTCTGTTGCCAACCTGGACTAAGTCTAGCTTCACAGATATGTGCAATGCGTTTGTGGAAGAAACGTGGGCAAATGCGTTTCTGGAAGAAACGTGGGCAAAAAAATTCCTGGCTGTTTTTATTTTAAATTGCGCCACAGCACCATGCAAATTGGCACTCATAACGAGCCGCATTTCCTAAGAATTAATGGCAACTCCATGCATCTGCTGAAGAGCAGCGTGTTTTTCCTGCGGGTCGGGAACATGCGTGATTTTGCAAACGTTCCTGACCCGCACAAGTGTGAACTTAGGCTAAAGGAACAGCGCCTATTGTCTAACATAAAAAATAGTGCAGCGCTGAGGGTAGTAATCATAAAACAAATATGAGTCCACTGCAAGTCCAGTTCATGAAAACGTGTCAAGTGACAAGTGGGAATTCAATGTTGGTGATCCATGAGGAAGTGGCTGAAAAACGCACTCACCAGAAAGAAGACATATAAACGCAGTATGTATCCAAAGCTCATGGATCCTCAATCCAGAAGAAAATAAAGCTGGTCCGGTCACAGAAAAGTGGGTCCCTCCTTTATGGATGCAGCAACAGATCCTCCTCCTCCCAAAGGATTTTACCCCTGTAATAGGTGTATCGCCCAATAGTAAAAAGGATTAGGGTATTGTTTTCCACCTTTGGTGCAACATGTGCAGATATTGTTAACACTCCTCCAATAATAAGGTCACCATCTTGATAATATCCAGTCTCATCTTCCTCATACCACCCGAACTGGACTTTCTTCAGAGCTTGTGCATCTTCATGTGCTGGCATCCATCTTGGATGCTGGAGGGTCCACTTTTTTTAGTCCCCCCCCCCCCCCCCCAGTTCTTCTAATATATATATATATATATATATATATATATATAAGATATACTGTGCATGTGTTTTTATATCTATATATTCTACAGGATTTATATAGCTCCAACAGTTTGCGCAGTGCTGTGCAAAATGAAGGTAAACATTACAGTTACAATCAGGGGCGGACTGACAACTCATGGGGCCCCCCCGGGCAATAGGGGATCATGGGGCCCCTGTGTCCTTGCCCAAACTCAAAAAAGCCTATGAAAAAAGGTACCAGGGGCATCTCATGGGGCCTCCTACTGACCCCGGGCCCTCGGGCAGTGCCCGAGTTTACGAATGGTCAGTCCACCCCTGGTTACAATACAATTTGGTACGAGAGGAAACAGAGGGCACTACTCGTTACAGCTTAAAATCTAGGTATATATATATATATATATATATATATATATATTATTATTTTTTTTATTTATTTACTGTCTAATGTTATTTTTATAGTCTCACAGTCAGGTGAGGTCTCTTTGATACAGGCGTTGAATTCTAAAGTAGCCTTAAAGTCTATCAATGCACATAAAGCGTCAATGAGCGTTTTGAATGTGTTGATCAGGCATCCATGTTGCATCAAACAACACTCTTCAAATGCCTTGTGAGATTTTTTAACATTTTTTACAAGGCTAAAATGGGAAATTATGGTTCTGTTCATCTGCACCTAAAATGCACTGTAAGCCCTGGTTCACACTGATGCGGTGCGGAATTTGCAACGTTTTCAGTGCGAATTCTGCACCGCATCAGAATCGCACCCTGTTCATGCAAACCGCTGCGGGTGTGTATGGTAAGTTAACAACACCCCGAAAGTGGTCTGCAAAACGCGGTGCGATGTGAGGAATTAGTTCACATAGGTGTGAATACCTATGCGATCCGATTCTATTGCGGACCCAAAAAAGGGTCCTGCGCGTTTTTGGTGCGGGTGCCGTGCAAATAGAACCATATAAAATGTATGGCTCCAATCGCACAGCACACAAATCACATGTGATTTGCACAGGAATGTGGTTCAGTTCCTGTGTGAATCGCATGCGATATACCGCACCGCACATATGTGAACCCAGGCTGAACGTCGTAGATGTGTTTATAGTGCGTTTACAGCATGCTTGTGATGCATTTCAATAGATAAAAGTGTCAGTTGCAAAGTGTCAGCACCTGCCAAACTCTACCACCCCGGTCACATCAAACCCGCCTTTGAAATCGTGCGGCTTATAGTGAAGTCACAGTAAAGTTGGGTGACCGGACGATTTCAGGTGCGGTTTGCAAGACATCTGAAACAGATGTCTATGCAAATCGCACCAAAAGTAGCGCATGTACTACTTTAGAAATCAGTGCGGCTCCGACCAAGTAGGAACTGCACCGATATGACTGCTCTAATTGCGGACAATAGGGTGCGACTTGACAAACGATCTGTAAATTGCATGCCAATTCACATCCAGTGTGACTGGAGACCACAGGCAGCACTATTTTTGCCTCGCCACAATGCGAGGCAACGCTAAAATTGCAATGTGAACACCTCCTTCCGCTGCCCATTTTTTGTTTTGCATGGCATTGATAGGTGTTTGGGAAGCGGTAAAAATGCAATCTTACTTAAACAGCCTGTAGAGCGACTATGATGGTGGTGGACAGTTTCCAGTAATACAGGCCATAGACGGTTCGTTTATCGGCCGATTTTGTTGTCCGAAAAATGAAACATCGTTCATTCTGTAAACCGATGTTGTCACCAATGATTGCGAAAATCGTCCGTTTTTCACAAATTTTCCAGCATGACCGATAAACGAAATGAGGAGGAACCGCGAAAATCGGCCAATGCCATTGCCCCACTTACAGTGCAAAAATCGTCCGATTATTCTTTTGGACGAAAAATCGACCAATAAATGAACTGTCTATGGCCTTCATTAGTCATGTACAGCTCTTGTCAGTATAACCTTCTTTTCCTAATTCCAACCATGGACAACACCACAGTCTCTGTTTCCACCATGACATCACTGTACACATTGAATTATCTCCCAACATGCTGCCCTTGTTTGGGGAAAACAAAAGAGAGCTGAGTGTCCCCAGTGCACGTCATGCACATAATGTTTGTCCTTCACTCCTCAAGGCTGGAGGAGGAGGAGGCTCAGGAGGCAGAACCTGTTGGGCAGCACTGGGAAGACGTAGAGATCAGTGACACTTTATTCTGAAGCCGGCAAGGACAGTAGACACAGAGCTGGGCTCTGAGACACCGGCACTGCCATCAAAGCCATGGCTTATAGGAACGCAGACAGTAGCTAAAAACCAATTAGAATATTTATAGATCGCAAATTCATGTCCTGTCTTTTACACCTGCTGCAAAAATTATTCAGTCCTTGGGTTTATTCTAAATGAATATGGAGAGAGAAAATGTCATGTGCTTAATGCAACTACAAGGAGCTGAGGTTTCGGTGACGCTCGAAAAGGACGCTCTAAATTGGTCCTACAGCAAGAAACGGATATGGAAACAAAAAAGTGAGTACGAGGGGTCTTGTACTATGTTTTCTTACCAACATCTTTGAATTGTGGCTCCCATTCAAACAGTACATACATGCGGCTTTCATTGGGTTGGGAAATTCCAAAATAAGTAGACTGCTTTTTAGGGTTCTTGCACATGGGTACCTAAAAACTTCATGTTTTTAGGCATTCTGGTGTTTTCTTTTCATTTTTGTTGCTGATCTAAATTAAACAAAAATACAAAAATCTGTAGTGCTGTCAGTATTTTACACACATTTGCACACAAATACATGTGTATGCTACAACCCCTTGATATAAAAAAATGAGCTAGAAAAACTTTTAGGCATGTGCAATATATGGTCTATCCTCATGTTTTTTATGCAAGAACTTTCTGACAGGAATGCCTGATGCTCATACATCAGTAACATGCGCAAGAGCTTGTCCATGGTAAAATTTAAACTCATTCACTATGGTTGAACTGGATTGTCATTTGTCTTTTTTCAGCCAGACTAACTATGCACTTAATATTATGGAATAATATTGAATATTCTGAAAACTAGCACATGCAAAAAAAAGTGTGGACAGTTAGGATGTGTATATTCTTTAAAACACAGTTAATGTCATATACATGGGCACATTGACCCACACAGTTTAAACAAGCTGCATAGTTTGGGGTCCAGGATACCCTGCTGCTGCTGGCGGCTGTACTCAGTTATGCGCTGCCACTTGCGTAAAGTGGTGCGTATGCACAGACATAAGTCCGTGAATAAATGCTATCTGCGTTTCAGGGCATTATATCTGAACGCATGTGCCACTTTAAACAGGAGGGGGAGAAACTGTGTACAGCTGCTGTCACCCATTTATGTCAATGAGTGGCGGTATGCCGCACCAGGACTTCCTGAGCAACAAAATATACAGCATTTTTATGAACAAATACACCCATGTGCATGAAGCCTAAAAGTGCACCATTTACTTTATATAATTTAAAAATAAATAAATAAAAGTGTGTTTTTTTTTTAGCAAAGTTCTAATATTGTCCATTATTTAACCTATCATAAATGTATACATAAATATAAATATATCCCCATATATGTTTAATCTTTATTTGGAGTTTAAAGACAAATAAAAACGTAGCAGTATATCCCCATAAATATGGGAATGCACAGAGAGACCAAGTGTTCCACAAGGTCCCTTTGTGCATTCCCATTACAGCCCAACCCCCAACTTATGATCACTGGTTTTACTTTCCTGGAGTTTCCTCTTAATGGTGGAAACCTGTAATGGGAGAAACCCAGCAGCTGCCTTTGCTAAATTTCCCCTCTGACAATAATAGCTGTCTGACTGTTACGGACCTAGAGCAAGCATGCAGAGGAAAAAAAATAAAATTCTCTCTAAAAACCCAGCTGATCCCTTATAATTTATTACTGTAAAGCAGTCCTGCTGACTAAAAAAGTACCATATGCTTAGGTCTGAACAACTGAGACCCACAGCACCGCTCCTTCATCTTGTCTAAGGGCTGACAGGGTGCTGACTCAAGAAAGCCTGTCTTCGCTCATTATTAGAGAAAGATCCACAAAGTAGCTGCAGCTGTCTCCTTAACTCCTCAACTGTCTCCTTGTCATCAAGCCATTTTTTGGTGAAACGCGTTAAGGAGATAGTGGCCTACGGGTGGAGACATCATAGTTGTAGCAACTTTGTGTTTGTTCAAAATCAAACAACCCGAAAAGCAGAGACTGGAGTGCGGCTCTCATTTATAGCTATGCTTATGTCTATTGATTTTTTATGATGTAATAATACTGCAGTCCAATACCAAGCTGTCATAGAGAGAGCATTGATGTGGATCTCCAGTGATCCAACATGCCTTCTGCACTGTGCTTCAATCAACAGCAGTCACACTTCCTGAGCCTCATTCTTGATTGGACAGGCTGTGTTGAACCGATGAAGATCCGGACAGCTATACCTTGTGTGACAGCAGCGGTCTGGACCTCAAGCATGCTGCCAGCTCAGGGCAGCTCGATAACAGGGCTGCAGAATGAATACAGCATAATAAACAAAAGGACCTACATCCAGTATATTCTACTATTTACTCAGCCTGACTGCATTGGAGCAATAAAGGTTCAAATGGACGTCAATATTCTGCTCAGCGCATTATGCTGCTATAGCATCACCTGTGGAGTATTTAAACTCCTACACAATAATTGCACGGTGTATTTGCCTTTAGTAAGAGCTCTTGCACTTGAGATGTGTTTGAAAATTCTACTTCGACTAGTTTGAGTGAAAGGATGCAGGCCAACACATCTAGAAAAATGCAACATGTGGGCTCTTGTGGGAACTATTGATGTGAACAAGTAGTAGTGAAAACTGTTTTTTCTTTTTCATGCATTCTGAAGTTTTATAAAAATAACACGCATTGTTTTATAAATAACAACGCATGCAGTGAATAAGTCCTAATACCCTCCACAGGACCAACAAAAAGTTCAGAGACATATGTGGTGTGATCACTATAAAAAACACTTTTTGGGCTAATATACACAGACCTATAAGGGGGTCAGAAAAGAAGCTTCATGGGATATGGATGTGTTGACACCCATCAACATTCATTCCAGCACAGTAAATAGAGGATATCACACAGACGTAGCCTAGGTTAGCGCTGTAGTAAATTCAGGAAGACTGAAGCTGCTTAGAGGTGCCTGTTTCTCTGGGGTAAAAAATTTGAGAAAGGCTACATCAGGGGCGGACTGACCATTTGTAAACTCGGGCACTGCCCAAGGGCCCGGGGTCAGTAGGGGGCCCCATGAGATGCCACTGGTACCTTTTTCATAGGCTTTTTTGAGTTTGGGCAAGGAC